AACAGTGTAAAGGGTTAATGACAGTTTTTCCTGCTTGAGTCAGGAAGGTGTGCAGATGGCTGAAGAGAGGTATTTTAAGTATCTTGAAGCACCTGCCTAGCTTTATGTACTGGCACCCACTGGCTAGACTGGGACGGCCTGTATACTTTAAGTCAGGTACTCTTGGGACTGCTCTGAACTTGAACCTATAGGTTTCACTGACTGAGTTTCGATGACTTTCACATTGGAAGCAGTAACAACCTGCAGCCTTTTATCTAAACAGAAAGACATTATTTTCATTACAAGATACCTACTCTGTTACAATGCATTAGGAACAAATGGCTCCTGAAAGCACCTTCTGCAATCTGGGCACTGACCTGTTGCACTCACAAGTCATGGAAGAGAAATCAGCATCAGGTGAATGTGCACCCAGAAGTTAATGGCATTCACAGACAACATCACGGCTAAATTAAGGAGAACAAAAAGCTCTCCCTTTATACTGCAGTAAGAGAGTGGGTTCTAAAGTCATCTCTGTTGTATTTTAAGACTTTTAACTAACTGGATACTATCTTATGTTATTGATTTAATTAAGTGAAAAGTTAAAAATAGAACCTATTTTGCTATTTATATGCATTTATCTAGTATTTTTTTCACTGTTAATGAGCTACTCTCACTTTTCTGTAGTCACTTCATAGATGCATATAATTTCATATTATATTTCATAATTTCATTGCACTCATGAATGGGTTTTCTTACAAACTAATATTTCTGGTTTTACTGGACAGAATAAATGTTTGGAATGGGAGTTCTTTTTGTTTTATTTTTTTATTACAGTGCCAATATCCTTCCTAGTGCCTGAGGAATAGAAGTAAAAAGAATGAAGTTTTTGGAGAGCCCTTCTAGTGACTGCATTAGCCCTACTGTTGTTCCGCGTTCTTGCAGAACATGCTATGCTGTAAATTTTCAGAGAGAATTACACTCAAAAGGGTGAGCAAGCCACTGCTTTCAATTTCTTAAATTCTCCTTTGCCAGAACTCTATATTGTTATTGCAATATACAGGAAGCCAAGAATTTTTCTCTGTGTAAACTTTAAGTTGAACAGATTTTCTAATGCAGAGTGTTGCTTTAGAGGGGAGGCAGGGAGCATGGTCTCCCTCTATTACTATCAGAAGTATATCTTCCTTCCATCACTTGACATAGAAAGGAGGAAAAAGTATTTTTAAAGAAGTGGTATAGAGTTAAGTGGGAAAAGGAAATTATACAGAGAGAGAGGTTTAGGAAATAATTAATTGTTTGCATTATAAAGTCAGAGCCAGTAACTGATCTCACTGCTGAGATTCACTTTGCTTACAGGAAGGAAAAAAAATTAATATTTTTCCCTATTCCAGTTATCTTCTTCCTTATTTTGATTATTGTTTGTCACTTGCCAAGACATATTCTATTGGGGGTACTTTTACAGTTGCACTCCATTGTATTGGTCCTGCCTGCTCTAATTGCTGCCAGAATCTTCAACCAACACCCTTCAAAGCATCCAGCAGGGTGATAGAAACAACTTCAGATATCTGTCTCTCTACAAGTCCTTTCATCCCTTCCCTTATCTGGCTGTGGCTGCTCATCTAGCGCTATGACTCCTTTAGTTGTGTCTGGGATCTCTCTCCCACACGCTGCTCTGGGTCTGGCTGCTCCCTTTGAGATGCAGCTGCCTTGTTTCTCCATTTTATTACAGCTGGTTGTTCCTCACTGATTGTTGCTCCTCATGTTTTTCTTGCTGCACTCCCTCCTCTGATGCTGCAGCTCTCCAGGGCTATGATTCCTGCTGTCAGTTATTTCTAGTGTGAAAAGGCTGTCACGCTTTTTGCTTTGATTTAACAATCCTCAGATCCACTCTTGTGTTCAACAGGCTATATTTTCTACTGCTCTTGGGATATAAACACTTTTCCCATCATTGTGGGAGGACACTATCTCACTTCCAGCTGCACTAGGAAGACATATCCACTCTCTGATGTAACTTGAGAGCCTTGAATCATCTACCAGTACTGTTTATTAATGAACTACAGCCACTTCACATTTTTCTCTACATATTTGTGACCCTAATGGAGGATAACGTGCTCCTATCTGAAGAACGACTAGTATGATGCTTTTAAAAGAGGCATGCATTACCCTCAACAGCTTTAGTAGAAAAACATCATGTGCTGCCAGGCTGCACTCTGCTTATGGGATTACCTGAATGCCATTCTTCAGGTGTTTGTGTCACGTGCAATCACCGAGGACAAGAAGTGGAAATGAAAAATATATTCAGCTCTGAAGCATTTAATTAGCACATTTGCAATGGTCATTTCTTTAGTGTATAGAAAGAAAAAGAGGCATATCTTTAAAATGACAGCTGAGTGTCTAAAAGAGATGGGCACTTTAATGGTGCCTAACTGATTTATGCCATCTTGATGACAGTACAGACAATGAAATGATAATGACATTCTATGACTGTCATTTCACTGAACAAAAATTAGATGGGGAAAGTTTCATCATTTCAATATCAAGTAGAAAACTGTGAAAAGAGAAAAGAGATCATATGGACAATCCAAAGTCTCGGGGAGCACAAGATGGACATTTAAAAAAAAATTAAACAGAATGAAAAACAAAATTCCAAAATGTAGGGGAAAGATAATGCACAACAGTGGTACACTGCTAAAAGACATTTGATTTAAGGCAGTTGAAAAGTCCTCACTGATGGTCCTGATTCAAAGTTTACTAGAGTCACCAGAAAAAAATTTCCAAGAACTTAATACTTTACAATCATTTAAAAGATCAGTCAACAGACAACCAAAAAGTCATTCCAGAAACACCAGTAGTACTATCTCTTCCAGCAGGGCTCATTGTGTAAGGAGGACTTTGAGGCACCTGAAAATATTTAAGCACATACCTGACCAGGTGAAGGCCTTCAGTATAATTTTACAGTTTGGATTTTATATTGGCAGACACTAGAGAGCTAGAAGAATAGGCAAATATTGTAGATATCTAATAAATTAGTTTAATTTCCATAGTTGAAATGCAAGCAACGCATGCATGCATACCAGGTTACATAGGAGTGAAACAATGGAAAATGTAAAATACCTTAAATTTGGTCTAATTTATCCTCAGACAGAAACAATATCAGGTGTTTGGAGGAAGGTATAGAAACAGTGAAAAAAGCAGCTACAAAGTCAAGTCAGGAAAGTTTCTTCCTATTAGATTTTGCTTGTGGCTAAACCAAAAGGATGAATGGCTACAGAAACTAGCAGAAAGACAAACCATTAGACAGGAAAATGAGTGAAAGAGTGGGTATTTTAACCTCTTCACCTATGCAAGTATGTAAGTAAATTCTTCCATTGCCATTCCCCAAGGTGGTTTGCCAGATCTGGTAACTGGGTTCAAAATTTACAGGATCATGCCTTTCTATGAATACATTCAGTGTCACCTAAGGTCTGGGAGGTGGCCATCAGAGAAGCTGAGTGGAGATGCTGCTCTATCCACTGGGCATGGCCCCTGTTACACTGGAAAAGGAACAAGGACACAAGACAGAAATTGTTCTGTAATCTGCACAGAAAACAGACTTATCAGCCTGCATGAAATAGCTAACAGTACACAGATCTGTCCTCCTGTCCTATTTTGTCATTTCAATGTAAATTAAAATTACTTAACATTTGCAAAGTGTTCATAAGATGAAGCGTTAAGTATTACTGTTAACTGTGTGATATTACTATTATCATATTAATTAGAAAAAAAATTAACTTGAAATATTAAGATATTGATGTGAGATAAGCCTCTGAACCTACCCAGGTTCACCAGCAAACATATAATTGAAACATTTAAACAATGAGAACATTCAGTAGGCTAAGAGCTGCTGGCTATTATAGCTTAATTGACCAAGAACGATGTTTTCAAAGCTAGCCAAGGGATTTTTGAAAATGTTACTTGGGCTCTTGAGCGACTCCAATCTTTTAAAACCTTTCCCTAAGTATTTTTGGTTTGTATATTACATTGTAGACCTATTACACGGTCATGTACACACATACACTCTTGCCCATTCTAAAAGGCATAAGATCCTTATCCAGAGGATCAAGGTGAAGTTATTGCTGTCTAGGAATAACTGATGACTATAAGAGAGGATATACCTCTTTTTTAGTCTAGAATGAGCACTGGACAAACCGGAGGTTCAGTCACCATGTCAGTGCTATGCTGCTGCTGTCTTGCTACAGTCTGTTGTTAGGCAGCTAATGATGCAGAAGAAAAGATTATCAGATGCAAAGGTGATAGTCAAATGACTCTTGTCATTGGAGAGCTCCCTACGGGAAGGCTGCAGGCAGTAGCAGAGAATAAGCATGTAATATAATGGAAACCACCAGCTTTCAGGCCACAGGATAACAGCAAGCCCAGTCATGTGATGGAAGAGGGGAAAGTATGCAGCCCTCTCACTTCTGCACAGAAGCTGTTCAGTCCAAAAACTGGCCAAAAGACTTTCTATTCATTGAAATAAAATTGGAAATTGCCTGAATCTAATACATATTCCTTTGCCAACCCAGGAGGCAGTTTCTCCATTCTCACTGTTCAGCAATGACTTGAGTTTTCACAAGCTGACAGAAAAATTCTTGTGCATAGAAAAACCAGAAAAAAAATTTAGCTTTAGCCCTTGACAAGTTTTCTAGAGAGTTTCAATAGGATAAAGACGTCCTTATGCTTTTTAAAGTATCTAGCACAATTCAGACAGTGTCACAAAATAAATAGTAATAAGAAGCACTAAATCTTCTTGCTGGATTCTGACAGCCTCTCAAGTTTATTTATAACATTTAATAACACTTGGTATGTTGAATGGCTAAAATCACTACAATATATTCCAAATATATTCCACATAAATTGGTTTTCCAAGTAGTAGCCACTGTAGTGTATGTAGTTTTACAACAGCATTTGTTTTACAGATGGAATATGATCTTCTGATAGCTACATATCTATATTATAAAAAGATAGATAAGTTTAATTAGTCTCACCTTTTTATAGGCAATCCAGTCAAACACCCTGTCAATGTCTGTGGCTTGCTGCACCTCCTGGGATACTGGATGTGAACTGGCCAACCCATCCAGCAACATCACTTCATGTAGGACATCTGTCAGAAATCTCTGCTTTTCCTGAAATACAGCATATGCAGTAGTATCACAGACAAATACACATTTACAGCAATACCAAAATGATGCACAGTTATCAGGGACAGCTGACTAAAATCAGACCTTCTGGTTTGAACGTAAAACCACCATGACCTCCTACAAATAGAATAAGTATACAGAATAGGTTCAGACAAGATATTTTGCTGCAATTAAACTTGACTGAAATTAAACAAATCAAAATATATCTGGAGGTGCAGAATGCAATGTTGAATATGACTTTTCATTCACAGTTAAAAGGGTGGGGAGAGAGGCAAAATGGCACAGTCTTCAATCACAAAAAGAGATGGATGTTACAAGTCATTGAGCTCATTGCATAGGCAGGTACGAAAATTTTTGACAGAGGTAGGTAAATACAATTACTACTGCTTTATTTAGCCAAGTTTAAGTTACTTGGCTCTTAGTGCCAAGTTCACATTGCAGGTCGACATGGGACAGGATAACGAACAGAGCTCACAGCAGTGTCACAGCAGATGCCTGCACTGTCTTTCATAATTCTGGTATAGAAATCCTTTCTCCTGAAGAGCTTGAGTCCTATACAAACTTTGTAACTTCCACTTGAACGAAACCATTATTATCTCTCTTTACAAGTGGAAAAACAGCTGCATGTACAAGTTAAATGATATAGTCAAGGTCACATCAGAGGCAGGTGCAAACCCAGAAAACATCCAACATACGAATTTGTTTCTATACCTTCTATAAATACTGATTGCAGATTGTATGTCAAAACTGCGCCTATTCACTCTGGCAGCAACATTAATGAAACATTCCTGTATACTCTATGAACTGTGCTGCACTCATTATTACAGCACAAGTAGATGGGGCTTTTTCAGCTGAGAAATGACACAGCTTAAAAACTCCTCATATTGCATTCATGTAGATGTCCGTAATCCAAAACACTGTGTCAAGAAGAGCTTCATTTACTTTCTTTTTCAAGTCACAAATAAATGCAAAGAGTTAATGAAAAACTATGGAAAGTTTAAATGAGATCTTTTTCACCCTGAAATGATGTATCTCAAACCTTATCTAAATTTTAACAGCTCCCGAATTAACATCAACCTAGTGCCATAATACAAAGAAACTCTAAGGAATGCTGCATTTTTTTCAAAAGCCACCTTGATGTCCTCAGATAAAATAACCACGCAATTACATAATAAATTCTATGTTTAATTTCTTGTGCGGTAAGGTTTTGGTATCAATGTGGTAATTTTAATTATTTTTGTAAGACAGTCAAAAAGCTCTTCCAGTGCTGATCCATCTGGAAATAAACCTTTATGTTAAAATTCATTAGAGCACAAGAAATGTACATTAGAACACAAGAAATGTACCTTGAGCTGACTGTATATTCAGGCAATTAAAAACACAGGATGCAGGAAAGCCAATTACCTAACACACTCTCAGTGTTCTCAGCTGGCTGCATGAGGTAAGGTTTGTGAAGGGAAAAGCAATGTCTTGTTCGTATTACTGTTAATTTCCAAATTTTCTCAGGCATATGCAGGTAGTAATTGCCCTTTTTTAATGGGAAAAAAAAAATGTAGGGAAACAATTATTATGACAGTCCTACTCAGCAGAAAACTGTAGAGCTGTAAAGGATTGTAGACAGTTTGGTTACACTTCACTCTCATTCTCCATTAGTCAGTAACAAAGTCCCAGTTTCATCAGATGTATGATATCATGGAATCACAGAATGTGCTGAGTTGGAAGGGACCCACAAGGATCATTGAGTCCAATCCTTAGCCCTGCACAGCATCATCCCCACGAGTCACACCATGTGCCTGAGAGTATCACCCAAATGCTTCTTGAACTCTGTCAGCCTTGGTGCTGTGATCATTGCCCTCGGGAGTCTGTTACAGTACCCAACCAAAAGGTGAAAAATCTCTTTCTAATATCCAACCTAAACCTCCCCTGACACAACTTCAGGCCATTCCCTCGAGTCCTGTCACTCGTCACCACAGAGAAGAGATCAGCGCCCATCCCTCCTCTTCCCCTCACAAGGAACTTGTAGACTGCTGTGAGGTCTCCCATAAGTCTCGTCCAGGCTGAACAGATCAAGTGACCTCAGCCACTCCTCACATGCCTCCCCTCAAGGCCCTTCACCATCCTCACTGCCTTCCTTCGGACACTCTCTAATAGCTTCATATCTTTCTTATATTGCGGTGACCAAAACTGCACACAATATTCAAGGTGAGGCTGCTCCAGTGCAGAGCAGAGCAGGACAATCCCATCCCTCAACCAGCTGGCAATGTTTTGCCTGATGCCCCCAGGACACAGTTGACCCTCCTGGCTGCCAGGGCACACCGCATACCTGCATACCTGTATGTTACCCACACAGGTGTAAGCATGCAGAGGTATGGACCTGTCTCCAAATTCAAGTTTGGATATCACAATTGACAAACAGTTGCGTGAATGGATTGCTACTGTTCGGAATTAACTCATTAAAAGGACGCTGGATAATCACAAATTAATACCTAAATACAGAGCCTGGAATCAAGAAAATGAGCACATGAGAAACATAAAGTGAAGATTTAAGAAGAAAGGACAGGCTACATTTTCATTTTCTGTTTGTTTCTTTGGTTATGTCCTGCAGAACTGAAAACAAGCATTTTAGACTCATGATTGTTCATTCAAGTTATAACAGCTGAAAAGTCTTTCCTGAAATTTATGGCAGACCATGAAACTGGGATACAAACAGAATAGTTAGTGTGCCTCAGAAAATGCAACCCTACAGTTTAGTGAATATTAAGAAGTCTTTTGACCTTTAAAGTTAAATTTATTGAACTAAAAGGATTTCCAAAACATTCCCACCTTTTCTCTTTAGTACAAAGCCTCTGAGAACAAATTTGAAAATGACACTCAAATATACTTCCAGGGGGCGCAGAAATAGTTTGCTGGTTAACAAGGGGCCTGCAGCTTGAAGAGGCAACAGGAGGCAGAAATGTAGAAAGAAACTAAAACTGCCTTAATTTTATTGCAGAAACACTACCTCAGCTGTTGAAGTCCTGGCATCATATTAAGGGGAAAAGGCTAACACATGTGACCAAACTGCTTATACTGATAGAAGAGGGTCTTTCTATTCCCTAGTTATCCTACCCTATGCAGTACAGTGGAATTGATCTCTTTTAACTAATACCTACAGGAGTAAACAAACCCCTAGCATAGAAATTGTAAAGGAAATCAATCTTGGAATGTGTTTAATGAGACCAACGAGATGTCAAGATGATAGGTGACAGGTCTGCAGCTACACATGAAATAATGACAGAATGTTGTTCAAGATAACTGTCCTTTGAGGGAGTTCAACTGCAAGAGAAAAGCCAAAGACTGTGATCCACCCATAAGGAAAAGAGGCTTCAGGTGAGTCTTGCAGCCAGGCTTGGAGAGTGTTGGTAGCCGCACGTAAGTACAATGTTATGCAATGTTAACAAAGGGCCAAGGGGTCTGAGCAGGAGTTGGTATTGCAGCACAAAAGCCAAGTTTGAAATAAGGACAGACCTGCTTCCACACAAATTTGAGCCTTCATTTAAAGGCAAAGAGGAAAAATCTCTGCTCCCTATCTTCCTACTGCACACTTTGAGTCCCAACTCTTCATCTCTTCTCCTCAGAGATTTCCTTGAACTGTGTACAGTGTCTGGGACACCAGACCTGTGTTCAGAAGAAAAGACATGACAATTATTTCCAGTTGCTTTCCGTCTTTCTCAGTAGAATGCTTCCAGGTGCAGACACTGAAGTGTTGTTATCAGATGAACATGTCTTTCAAATATTTACATTTTCTGACTATTTTTCAAACATCTGTGGTCACTAGATTCAAGTATTTATAACTTCATAGGAATGACTTCTTCCAATGCTTGCCAATAAGACCTCCTCTGCTTTGTACAGGGTTTTCCTGAAAGGCTTATCCTTTCTCTGTGCTCTCTCCTCCTTAGCCAACATTTCAATTCACCTTGTTCTAGGGAGAAAGGTTTACAGAAAGGTAGTGGTCACTCTTTGTGTATTCATCTCCAATAAGGTGCCCACCATTCAACTCTAAATGGAGAGAAAGCAATTGTGAAATAATGTTTTTGGCAGAAAAGACTGTACCTTCAAGAGACATGAAAAATTTATTGTGCATAATAGGATAACAATGATGTAATGGAGAGGGGTTATTGCTGCTGATTTTACAATATCATATTGAGGCATAATGTAAGAGTACAAGTTAGCATGACAATAATGTAATACTTAAGTCACATAAAAATCATTTCTAAAAATTAATATGAAATACCAGGTAAAAGAACTAAAATAAAAAAAAAAAAGGAAAACATCCACTAGTGAAATAAAAGGAACAGCATAATGAAAGCCAAAACTGATAATTAGCATGCAGAAGAGATCAAAGGCCTCAATATTAAAAGCATCGCCTTTATTCTGGGACAGCCATTTGAACACATTATAGACTGAGAAATCTATATGAATAAAGTTTAACATCAGTGTGCAAATCTGCAAATGATTTTCCTGACAAATTTTCTGAAAGTATCTTCTTCAAAATTTAGAGCTTTACTAGCCATCAAGAATACAAAGGAGTTAAGTGATCTTTAATGCCTGAGAAAACAAGCATTTGCAAGACACAAGCCTTAGGTTTATAGAGAAAGTGCCCCCTTAGGAAAAAGAAATAGAGGCAAATTTTGAAAGCTATCAGAGAACACCAATAAATACACCACAAGCAGTTGAGTTCTAATAAAATATATTTCAGGGTGAAGCTGAACAAACCAGAGGAATATCATCTATGAGGAAACCTAGGGTTCAGTAAAATACATTAAGGCCAGATAAGATCAACTGAGGGCCAAAAGCAAGTTCCTTCTGTCTACGTGCTTATAAATCCTAAGTTGTCATAACACAGTCTCTCAAGTACTTGTGAAGGAAAGCAATGTTTCTTTCTCTCTTCACAACAGTAACTTTTTGTAAATACCTTGAGCAGCTTACAGACTGCTTTTTTTTTA